ATATGAAAAGAGCGCTCTCCTGTGTGTGCTTTTCTGCCCACAGATGCTTTCTGTTCTTTTTACTCAAAATAAACTTGTGGCCATGGCACTGTGGGGCTCTGTCGCCTGGTCCTTCTACGGCATGGTGCACGAAATACGTTATTATGTTCGCAGCACACCTTTGTTGTAGACTCAAATTTGATGGCCGAACCTCTGCGTACTTAAATGAAAGTCTCCTGGAAGCCTCACAGTGGCCGACGTTCCGCTAAGAGACCTCTTCTTCAGACTTACGATTAAATTGCTATTAAATGCAAAGGTGCAAGCGAGCTGGACAAGAATGACGAAAATAATCCCTGGAGAAGGGGAACAAGAGGGACAAAGGACAAACACAAATCTCCAAGCACAGCTAGGTGACCGGTGCACGACCGAAAAAATCTGCCTGGTCCGGGGATCGAACCCGGGACCTCTCCATTTCCAGTGGAGCGCTCTACCAACTGAGCTAACCAGGGGTTAGATGTCAGCAGAGCAGACAGGTTTTATCAGCTGCCACCGGTCTAACACCAACAAGGGTGAAAGCTTGCATATTTAAGGTTATGATTAAATTGCTATTAAATGCAAAGGTGCAAGCGAGCTGGACAAGAATGACGAAAATAATCCCTAAAGAAGGGGAACAAGAGGGACAAAGGACAAGACCTTTGCGTGGTGGGAACTGTGATGCCTGGAACGCGTCTTCTACTGGCGCGTTTACTGTCCTATAGTTCCCATGTATCAAGTTGCTCGCGATGCGGAAACCCGACCACGTCACGTTTGTCATGCTGTCGGAAAGCCCGATCCTGGCGGTTGGTTAAAAAGTATCGGCAAAACATACTAACAGATGCAAGTGACGCTATCATCGAGATGTCACAATGGACCGATCCCACGACGGCCGCGGTGCATCCTGGAAGTTGTAGTCCTTTTTGGGTGCACCACGCCAGCACACGCCACACAAAGATGGCCGACCAATGTAGCGCTATATCCAGTGTGTGCGTGGCTGCGGCGGCTGCGGTGACTTCTGAGCCGACTGAGCGACCGAGCCGAGCATAGAGCGGAACTAGCAGAACCAGCAGAACCGTAGACAGTGGCTGGACTACAACTAAGATGACAGCGACACCCCCATGTCCGCCGCCATGTTAGTTGTAGTTCTCCCGAGAAACCGGAAAACTACAACTAACATGGCGGCGGACATGGGGGTGGCGTTGTAGTCATGCCGTGGTCTATGGTACTGCTAGTTCCGCTGGTTCCGCTCTATGCTCGGCTCGGAGCAGCCCGAGCAGCCGGAGCAGCCCCACAGACACTGGATATAGCGCTACATTGGTCGGCCATCTTTGTGTGGCGTGTGCTGGCGCGGTGCACCCACAAAGGACTACAACTTCCAGGATGCACCGCGGCCGTGGTGGGATCGGTCCATTGCCGGTGACTGATCAACTATACTCTGTCTCACTAATTCCGTGCACTGCAGTCAAAGGTACGGGCGCGAGCGCGGTATTCCCGCGACGCCTTTTCTGTACGAGCGCTCGCGCAAACGAAGCCTTCTTCGGAGCTACGCTCTCGCGCCTGTACCTTTTCTTGCAGTGCACGAAACTAATGAGACAGAGTATACATCGCAAGATGCAGCAGGACAGCCTCGCTGCTATTTTACCGCCAAGGTAAACCCACCCGGTGGACATCGGACAATCAATAATAACCTCTCGTTAAACATGATGAAAAACCGCGCACAAATAGAAAGAACATACGAGGTAAGAAGAGAACGGAAGAGAAGCGCGTTCTCTTCCGTTCTCTTCTTACCTCGTATGTTCTTTCTATTTGTACGCGGTTTTTCATCATGTTCAATGCATACCAACTAGCCCAGCTTACTACCTTACCCTCGTTAAACACACCAGTCGAAGACACATTCCAGGCACCCTGGTGAGAATCAGAGTAGGAATTATGTTCAAAGAACAGACGCCGGCGCACACAGATCCTTCAAATACCCTATTTTATACTTCACTTCGTAGCAGACGACAGAGCTAGCTGCACTCATCATGGTACCCAGTATTATGTTGCACCAGTGTGCTCTCGGTGCACGCCTTGTAAAGAGTTTGATATTCAATGTTTTCGCTAGGGCTGTACGCTTTGTATACTTGCATCAAGACATTACTCGGGAATGTATTAAACATTCAGTTGGAGTAAGCGCTATGTCCTGTCCCCTCTTCTTTTCCTTGGTGTTTGCGCTTTTGATTTTTATACAGTGCTAACGCTCGGGACGCGCCTTCGAACCGTATCCGGGATGTTTTGAGGCTTTGCGATCATTCTTGGTCCTCGGGTTTTCTGCGCAACCTGCAACCAACTACGACCGCCAGGCAGATACTTTAAAAGGAGGTACGAAATTGAGGGCAAAAATTTAACACGGAGCGACGTAGGTAGCGCAAGCTGCCGCCCGATACAATGCATGCGTATACGGCGAGCAAGTTCGTCTGCTAGGCGCGCATATTCTCAAAGTAGCGCTGAAGCGCATTCCATTGCGTCCGCTGTCCGGAAGCTTTAAAGCGAAACCAGCGGAATAGAGTGAACAAAAACAATAGTAGAAAATTGGTTGGCCAGGTCCAGAGAAAATTGAAAGAATATCACAACGAAAGGAGAAGACAAATTGAATGGTGGAAAAAAAAGTAAGTTTAAAGAAAATAGCCAGGCTAGGTGGCGCAAACCACCGCCAGTTATAAAGGGTACAGCCACTATCCATTTATCCACTCATCCAACCATTCGTTCATGTGTGCCTCTGTGTTCTTTGTGTTGCGTCCAGTGTTGCCAGATTGGGCTATATATAGCCAAATTGGGCTACATTTTTTTCTAGTTGGCGTCGAAATGTTGTAGTTGGCTATATGGCTATTTTTGGGCTACTTCTGAGGATGCGGCGAACTTTTGTCCAAACCTCAGTTTCGACGTGGAACTTTGAGGTTTGACTAGTTAATTTTTGAACTTCTTATCAGCTTCGAAAAAAATTTTATCTCTTTTGGCCATTCGATAGAAGAGAGAGGAAAGAGAACGGCTTTTAACTTCTACAAACTTCGTCGTTTTGACAATGCGCACAGAAGCAATGCTTGCACAGTTCAAGCGGTCTCCACAGTGCGCGGTGAAGCAAACCCAACAGTGGTAGGGCGTCCTCTACCCGGACCTAGACTAAACTCTGCAAAGTTCAAGCGTGTTTTGGTGCCCATTGAGAGAATCCTTAGGCACCCAAGTTCGTAAATATAAAGTCCGCAGTTTCACCGCTGAACAATTGACTACCTTCCAGTCTTCGCCCACCCCAAGAAAGGACAACACAATCAGAAATAGCGTGAACCGAAATGGGGAACACTCATATTCTACACAAAGAAAAAGAGACGGGTAGGATGTTGATAAGGACCTTAGATATTGTGATCCCTGTTTGAAACACCAAGTGTTACCGTTCTGCTTCTGTATTCTGTTCGTTTACTGTAATGATCATATCCCGGGCTTCACGATAAAACTGTCTTTGTGTGTTTTGTACTTCTGAAGACCTGCGAAGGAGGTGACAGTTTTGTTTTCTTCCTTCCGAAGTGTTTTTTTTTTTTTAATTCGCAAGTGACATAATGTACACAAAATGTGGCGCATCTGGGGCTTGAAAAAGATAATGTAACGTGTCTTGTATGTGTGTGAAAAATTGTCAAAAAAGGCTTAAAAACCATTGTTTTTAGTTTTGGCTATATTTGGGCTATACCACCCAGGCGTTTGGCGGTTTTTTGTTGGGACCATCTGGCAACAACTTGCGTCTGCACCACAGTGGTCTGCGCCTCTGCTCTGTTGTGGCTCGTATTTCGCCGTGTTAAAGACTGCATTTGGTGCGCTACTTCCTGATAATGAACAAGTGGCGTAAGTACCGGAAGCTCAAGAAGGACCATGAGCAGCTCATGGCGGATCTTCAAGCTGCAAGCTGCAAGAAGCCGAGAACGGAAGGCGGTTTGACGGGCAATGCCGTTTCCAGCGATGTTGCGCGCTCTGATAAACCTGCAGCCGGAGGCGTTTTCCAGTCCAGTGAAGCTGGCTGTTCGGGTGACTTGGATGTCCAGGTGCAGTCGGCGAGCTTTGAAGTCTCGAGATCTGACGTGCTGGCGAGTTCTTCAGAAAATGATTCGTCGGAAGACGATACGAGCGATGAGTACCAGTCAGAGGAAAGCGCTGACCATAACTCGGAGCCACCAAACGGCAGCGCGAATCCGAACGCTGTCACGACGTCGTCATCCCAGCCGCATGAACTCTCGGCATGCGACGAGCTCGCAAGTATTGCTGGGAAGCACAACATGAGCCACGTATGTCTGAACGATGTTCTTGCCTTTTGTCGGCGTCGAGGCATTGCCGGACTACCCAAAGACGCGCGGACTGTGTTGTGCACAGAACGGAAGTCCCGACTAGAGCAATGTGACAAGTTTGTGCATTTCGGCTTAGAAGAAGGCATCCGTCAGTCATTGCAAGGCTGCCCCATTCCTAAGGAGATTAAGCTCCAAGGGAACATTGACGGTCTGCCCCTGTTCAAAAGCTCACAGGTGAGCGTCTGGCCCTTGTTATGCCGGATAACGAATTTGACTCCTCTGCCGTCACCTTTTATGGTCAGTTTATACTGCGGCACAGGAAAGCCCCCAAATCTGGAGCAGTACCTGTACGCATTCCTTGAAGAAGCCCGCAAGCTCACAGTGCATGGCATGGTCTTCAAGGGGAGCCACATCACTGTCAGCATCACGGCCATGGTGTGCGACGCACCCGCAAGAAGCTTTATCAAGCAAATAGTTGGGCACACTGGCTATCACGCCTGCGAACGGTGCAGTCAGAGGGGCCTGCATCTCGAGGGTCGAATGACATTTCCTGATTTACACTCACCACAACGCACCAACGAGTCGTTCCGGTCTCAGGAAGACGAGCACTATCACACGGGAACGTCGCCATTTGAATCTTTAGATGTCGACATGGTGTCATGGTTTCCTACAGAGTACATGCATCTCGTCTGTCTTGGCGTTATGCGGCGCCTTCTGAGAAACTGGGTTAGCCAAGGGTTCGGGAGACGCCTAAGTCGACAGCAGCGTGAAAATTTGAATGATTTACTTCGAAGTTGCAGTAAGCGTTTCCCCAGCAACTTTCAAAGGAAGCCAAGAGGCACTGAGGAACTTGACCGGTGGAAGGCCACAGAGTTTCGAAGCTTCCTCTTGTATGTGGGACCTGTGGTTTTGAAGCATGTGTTGCCAAACGATCAGTACCGTCACTTTTTAATGCTGCATGTGGTGGCAGTGAGAATTCTTGTATATCCTGCACATTACGAGGTTTATAACGGATTTGCCAGGGACCTTCTTAGGTACTTTGTGCAGGAGTTTGGCACCTTGTATGGGGCCAAGCAGCTCGTTTACAACGTGCACACGCTCAGCCATCTGGCTGAGCAGTGTTTGGACCATGGCTTTCTTGACAGTTTTAGTGCGTTTCCTTTTGAAAGTTTCCTGGGTAAGGTTAAGAAAATGCTACGTTCAACAAGCAAGCCTTTAGCGCAGATCAGCAGACGAATGTCTGAAGTCAGACATTTGTATCAACCTGAGATTTCGGAACGGAAACGCATTGTCAAAGCAGGTCAGTGCTTCATGCTGAACGAGTCTGCAGTTGTCGTCTTGAAGCTCCTTGAAGACAGGTTCAAGGCAAGCATTCTGCCAAACATGACAGATTTTTTTGAACTGCCGATCAAGTCGTCCGCCATCGGCATCTGGCAGTGCGATTCCCTCACGCACGTGACTAAAATGTACAACCTTTCCGAACTTGACACTGCTGTTCAATACCTCAGACTGGACTACAGAAGCAGACATGTCATCCTTCCACTTCTACATCTGCTGTAGGCCTTTAACATAGCTTTTGTAGCTTCTTTGAGGCCCTCGTATGATTTCCAACCTCTGCAGGCTGCATTCTGAAAGGCCTCTGGCAATTGAACTGTGCGCTAGTGTCAGCAGTTAAGCTGACAGTTATGTTTTGTGGGCAACAAAATTGCCGGATGTTGATCAGGACTCTTTTGAGCTGACTGAGAGCTTTCCCAAATGCTGTGTGGAAGGCCTCAAGCAGATGAGCTGTGCATTGCTGCTGGCATTCGAGCTGACAGTGCGGTGTTGTGTGCAACAATGCTGCCAGGCGTCCGTCAGAGCTCTTCTGAACTGTGCAAGGAATCTTCCAAGTGTAGCATGCAAGGTGCCAACCCTTCAAACTGTGCGTTTCTGCGAGCATTTGAACTGACAGTGGAGTGTTGTGTGCAGCAGTGCTACCAATCGTCACTCAAGGTCCTTTCAAGCTGTTCATGAAACCTGCCAAGCCCATTGTACAGGGCCTCAAGCAGGCGACCTGCGAGTGGTTGCCAGTGTTTGAGCTGACGGTGAAGTGTCATGTGCAGCGGCACTGTCAGGCATCAGTCGACTCTTGGAGCATCTCCAGGTGTATTTTGTGCCCTGTGTGAACTTCTATACTCCGTCTCGCCCTAAGCTGGACTAAGCGGTGAAGCTACAGGCCAAGGGGGCCAATCACAAGCCCGTTGGATGGTGCTAATCCTGGATGTGCTGTTAGGCTAGTTTGTTCCTTAGTTTAAGTTCAACTTAAGTCTTGTACTGTGGCTTGGAATTCGATTAGATTTGACATGACACATAGAAAAAGGCACAAAAGCGACCTATTCATATTATTTATGATGAGTACTTTGGAAGCCTATGTACTTACGAGTATAAATACATCCTTAAAATACTTTCCCTGCAGAACCTATAAAAAAGAATTGCTTACAATGCATTATTTTTATGTAGAACCATTCGTGGCCTTCTGGATGGTGATTTTGCATAATTTCTTAATTTTCATGCATTGCCTTCTGATTTTAGGGGCCGTTATGTGTTTTACTTTCTACTCATGTGAAATTGTCTCCGGTTGTTCGAATGCAAATTTGTGTTAACAGATTATCCCCTGCTACTGATGTGCTTTCTGATCTCGTTATATTCATGCAAAGTGGTGCGCTATGCTAGTTCGTACAAGTGAGGCATGATTAAACAGGTGTGACGGACAAGGGCAAGGCATGTTTGTGTTCTGTCCTTCGTCATTGTCCGTCACGCCTGTTTGATCACGTTTCATTGTATTCAAACGTGGAATGGACCTGGATCTTTTCATTAATTTATTAATCCTTAAGGGCCCTCTGTTGAGGGCATGGCTGACCAACAGCGTTATGTTGGTCAGCCATCTTAATACATGTCTCATGCTGTAGATGGGCAATTTGGCCAGTGCGGTACAATTGCGATCCTGGGGTCTTTAACGTGCATCACCAGTATGTGATTACACGAGCGCAGCCGGTACGATGCTCAGGTGTGGACATACTCTGTGCAAGTGGACAGGTAGTTTTGATTGTGTTTTTCAATTTTTTCTTTGTGCCTCTACACCAAGACCTATTGGTTGTGTGGGGCATTAGATAATAAAACTAAAATAATAATAATGAGAGAACATGCGTGGAGGAGAAAGATGTGCTTCATGGCACCTAAATCGTCTCTGGCCTACCACAGGGTCCGTCGTCTCTGGCCATGGATCATGGTGGCCGAGGCTTGGATGTGTTATCTCAAGGTGAATACCTTCCCATCAAGGGAAAGAATGTACCCTTCTGGGTATTTCCGCTTCTCTTTTCTGTATGCCGCATTCTCACCCAACATCACCTCGCCCCTGAGGTAGCAGTAAACTTCCAAAAACCGCAGAAAAGGCAAAGAAGCTGTAATAAAAGACCTGCTGGAGAGCGGACATTGTTTGCCCTATCCTCCCAGGAGCTCGGCCTGACGTCACACGACTGTCTCCTCTGCATAACTAGCAGACAAGCTCACTTCCCGCATATGCTCTTCGAAACTAGCCTTTATTTGGGACAACAGTAGCTTACGTCCAGAGATCTCATGAGAAAATGTGTCGGAGTGTACTGCAGGTGGGTGACTGGTGAATAGGTATCTCGGGGATGGATATCACAATCGTTTAGCATTGGAAAAATGCGGACCTTACATGGATCTCTAACAAGTATGAATTCTTTCACATTCTTTGAACTTCTGTGTAAAATGGTTATATAGCCTAAAACTGCATTTATATAAAGCATGTGGGGTTTTGTATAGCCACTTGCACAGTTCCACGGAGCAGACAGACTCGCTATGTAATAAGCCCCGCCGGTGCAACTGGTCATGCTATTTTGTGAGACCTGTTACCGTAAAGTAACCCTGCCAGCGCTTCTGTGCAGCAAAACTCCTTCTGAAGACTGAACTTTGATAGTGCTGCCTCAGAGCTTTTATTTTTCTCTCTCGCTTCTGAGCCACACTCACTTGGTTAAACTGAAATTGCGACAGAACTCAGCCTGGTATATTGAGGCCAAAATGCATAATGCCTATACGTGCAGCAAGTGGGCCCATTTTGGTCTGCTGCAGTTGAGCGAGGAAATGTGGAGGCGAGACAGGAGCTTCATAGTGTCTTCGGGTTCCGCGTCTCTCGGCGAAACTCATGGCGGCCGAGACTTGTGCATGTCCTCTCACAGTTAACTGCTTCACGTCAGGGTAAATAACCTACTTTTCGACGTATTTCTGCTCTTTTTGATACACTTTGTCCTCATCCCTAAAACGGCAGTAAATTGCCGACAGGCGCCGAAAAGGGCTGGCCATTGCTACGACCTGCCACAGACCAGACGACAGAAAATCAAGCATGCGACATTGGCGTGACGCCACGGCGGCTGTCGTTTGCTGTGCGCGCCTAGCAGACAAGCTTGCTCGCCGCGTAAGCAAGGAGTTGTGGACAACGCAATAATAGTTTCGTTAGATTGAAAATTTTGTAGCATTGAACTTGCTATGTCCACGTTTGACTGTATTCTCATACTCTAGACTTCGTCAGGCAACAGGAGCTAGGCTGATTTTCTTCAGTAGCTTGTACTGTCATGTAAAGAGACTGCCCGAGCAACAAAAACAATTGTGGCACAGATTAGCAAGCAAAGGACAGCCCGCTAGGGACGATGTTCCCATGGTCGTGTTTAGCACGTGTGCCAGCTGCTTTTGTCGAATCAGATCAAAAGGAAGCGGCAAGTATACGTCGCAGTCGCGACAGCACCCCGAGGATTAGGCCCAAGCAGATGACACGCTGTGGCGCCACCTACAATGCTGTGCGCTCCGAATTTCGGCAGGTGCCGAAAATTGACGCTGCGTGAAGTGCGAATTAAGGGCGTACCACGCGTACCACATTGCGTACCACGCGTACCACGCGTACCACATTGGCGTAATGATGGTCAACGTTGGTAATAGCGGCCCAATTTTGCCAAGGTTAACCGATTTTGAGCCAATGTCAGCAGAATATTGGCAATAACGGCCCGATTGAGCCAAGATGACTTGATATTGAGCCAATATTGGAAGAATAATGGTGAAAATTGGCAATAGCGGCTCGATTTAGCTGATATGACCCGATGTTGAGCCAATATTGGCAGATTAATGGTTAAAATTGGCAATAACGGCCCGATTTAGCCGATATAACCCGATATTGAGCCAATATTGGAGGAATAATGGTTAAAATTGGCAATAACGTCCCGATTGTGAAGTTGCTCCGTTCCGAGGTTGAAGTACTCCAAACAACGGTGACAGATCAAACGGCAATGATAGAGCAGTTACAGGCGAACGTAAACTCATCCGAGCAATATAGCAGAAGGTGTAACATGGAAATACACGGTATTCCTTGCGCGAACGGCGAAGACGTGAGTGTGACTATGGCCGACCTTGCGGTGAAACTGGGGCTCGCGACCCATACCCCCGATAGAGTAGTAGCTTGCCACCGCTTACGCTCTAGGCGTGAGGGTGCTGCTCCCATTTTGGTGCAGTTCACCTCAGTGTCGGTAAAGGAACACTGTATGAATGCTCGCAAAAAGTTGGCCAGCCTTTCTTGGTCTGAAAACCAGCAGAGGATATACTTTAATGAAAATTTGACTCGGACAAATAAGGACCTCTTCTGGCAAGCGCGGAACAAGGGAAGGGAAAAATCGTATAAGTTTGTGTGGGTTAAGAACTCCGCCATTTTTGCGAAAAAGGACGAGAACTCATCGCCAGTGCGTATCTCTAGCACTAGGGACTTGGGAAAAATAGTATAGAAATGGATAACACTATACTAAACTCTGATTTCTCAACGTTTATTGACTCCTTTCCGCCTAGTGCTAGTTCGCTCACGATTTTACATGTAAATATCAGAAGCATTAGGAAATACTGGGACGAATTTCAACTCATTGTTGGGGCAACTGACACCGTTGTTGACGTTTTTGTCCTAACCGAAGTAAATGTTCGGGATGTGGGCGTTTCTCAAGGTCAGCTTTCTCTGCCTGGTTTTGAGGCTTTTTTCCTGACTCGCAACTCATCTAGAGGAGGAGGAATAGCTGTTTATGTTAAAAATACCTGGTCAGCAAGTACCATAGACATTACACTCGAACATGCAGAATGTCTGACTTTAAAGTTATGTAAAAACAATTTCGTAGTATCCCTTCTGGCAGTTTATAGACCACCATCGGAAAATGTGCGTAACTTTTTAGATGAGCTAAGCGCAAGTTTACAAACTATGGTGCCTACCGATAAGCTTTGTATGGTGGGTGACATAAACATTGATTTACTAAAGCCTTTCAAAAGTGCCGTCTGTGATTATTTAAATATTCTGGCGAACTATGGTATTGACAGCGTAATTCAGACGCCTACTAGAGAAGAGTACTTGTCCAATCAAATGGTTAGTTCTTGTATCGACCATATAAATATCAGGAACTCAGGGGTTCCTATATTATCAGCCGTTATCAAACATAAATTGGCAGACCACTACTTTGTGGCATGTCGAATATACGCCG